TTCCAACTCTTTGAAGATCGTTTTTAAATTTGTCAGCATGACTCAGAGGAGGTATAGCTCTGTGTTTGGGGGATGTGCTTTGTATATAACAGAGAAGTAGGTTGTGAAAGCTCGTACTAGAATAGGTTAATTTGGGGGCCAGCAGGTAGCATGGTGGTTAAGGTGCTGGACACTCCCACATGACCAACCACGGTTCAAGTCCTAGACCTGGTAGCTTGCTTTCTCCCGTTTTCTCTCTCTTTCTGTGTGTATGTCTCTCTGATTAAAATAAATGAATGAATAAATAAAATTTAAAAACTTCTTTAGAAAAGCTTAACTAACTCCTGATAGCTTTTTTTTTTTTTTTTTGGTAAAGAAGCGTGTACTCTAGGGCATGTGCGCTTGCCGGAGAGACAGAGACAGAGAGACAGAAAGCGAGAAATCACCCCCAGAGGGGTTGGCCATGCCACACTCCCTTCTGCTCCGTTTTCCTCTCGGGATCTTGGGCACACACGCACACGTGCCCGGCATGAGCTTTAAGCCCTCGGGTCCGGGACTCGAACCGCATTCGACTACGTGAGAGTCCAGAAACGAACCATTACCCCATCTGTTGGTCGCCATGGCACTTTTCTTAATGTGAAAAATTACATGCACACAAACACACACACACACTCACACTGAAAAGTGGGCCCTTCCAGAGCCGCTGGGCTCCCTAAACTTGCGCTCAGTTTCTCGCTTTACCCATTCCTGTGTCCCTCAGCAATGAATATATATTTTGTTTGCTTGTCTTTAAACTTTGTGGAAATAGTGTCGTGCTGCGTATATTCCTTTTAGACGTCTTTTTTTAAGGAAGTGTTTTGGTTGTTTTGTTCCATTTTATCTGTTGGGGTTTTGGTTCTTACAGTTTTGCTATAGGGTGTGTGCACTGGGAGACAGGGAGAGTTAAAAAGCACCCCGCAGGGAAGGTTATCACGCTGCAATTCCTTCTCCACCATTCTCCTCTGAGATTGTGGGCACACGCAGGTGCCCAGCATGGTTTTCAAGCCACCAGGTCCGGGACCCAAACTGCACAGTTGGCCGTGCAGGATCCAGCTGCCCTCACCGCCATGCCACCCACTGGGCCTGGACTTACTTGCCTTTTCAATTCAGTGGATTTGTAAGATTAATTCCCATTCACCTGTACCTTCTCCCTGCTGTTCGGGATTCTCATGGGTGACTTCATCCGCGTTTCTCTCAGGGGACATTTGTGTTGCTTCCAGTTTTGCCGTTACATGTAGTGCCTTCACAAACAGTCTTAGACATGTCTTTTGGTACATGCGTGTGGAAGTAGAAGTGAGTTGCTGTTTCGTAAAATAGGAGTCACATTCAGCTGAACTGCATAAGCCTGCACTTTTGCCCTCAGTGAACGCAGCAGTTAGCAGTGGGGAGTTTGGTTTTTCCCACCTCTTCCAGGCTTGCATTTTTCAGACATTTATTTTTGCCCATATATTTTATGAAATAGTATAGAATTGTGATTTTAAATTTCCTTCTGCTTTTAATGAGATTGAGCGTGTGTGTGTGTGTGTGTGTGTGTGTGTGTGTTTGGAGAGGTTTTTGCTATAGGGCGCGTGCGCTCACCAGAAAGAGAGAGAGAGACAGAGAGAAAGCGAGAAATCACCCCCCAGGGAGGGTGGCCACGCCGCGGTCTCTTCTCCTCCATTCTCCTCTCGGGATCTTGGGCACGCACACACATGCGCCCAGCGTGAGTTTAAGCCACTGGGTCCGGGACGCGAACCGCGGTCAACTACATGGGAGTCCAGCGACATAGCCGTACACTAACTGCTGGTCCCAGCATTTTTGAGAATGCCGGTACATGTCTTTGCTACTGTTATGTGAATCTTTTTTCTCTTTGACTCTCAGGAACTTGTATATTCTGAGCAGTGGAATCTGGCCTTTGTCTTGTCATCTAGACGCCCTTTCTCCACTGTGGCTTGCCTTGCCGCACTCTTTAGTGAAACCCTAAAATGTTGACTTTTACATTTAGTGTTTAATCTATCTACGACCAGGTTTTATTGGAAGTAAAAACCAAATGTCTATTTCAAATGCAGAAGGGTTTCTAGGCAGTCATTTCTGATGTGTATCAGGTTTCCCTGTGTTCGTGGAAAAGTCTGAGAAGTTTCTTTGAGCTTCTGAACACATTTTAGAATCAGCTTGTCAAGTTTCGTTTCTTAATCACCTTTGGACTTTTTATGTAATTGTAATGAATCATCTTGGGGGAAACTGACATCTAAGACATATTGGCCCCCTCTACCCATAAACTCACTCACTCTCTCTCCACTTATTTAATTCTTCAGAGTTAATTTCAGTAGCTTTTGTCATTTTCTTCCTAAAGATCTTACGCGTCTCTTATGAAATTTATTTACAAGTTCCTTATATTTTTAATGTGGTTGTAACACATTTTAAAATTTGTTTTCAGATTCTGTTGGCATATTGAAAAGTCAGTATTTGTTTACTGATCCAGCCCTTATGGTAAACTCTTTTATTAAGTTAGTGAATTGTATGTCGATTTTGGATTGTTTTTTCCTATGCGGTATTTAGGAGCACGGCAAATGCTGACCGTTTCGTTGGTTCTGTGTGCCTTTCATTTTTCCTGTGTTTTTCATACTTTGATGAATGTGATTTCTAGTATAGTAGTAATTATAAGTAGAAATAACAAGAAAAAAAAGCATTTCCCAAGCACTTTAGTAGGGTTGTCCACTGTGCTCTAGGGTCTACGGGAAATTTCTAGTTACTGGACATAGGTAATAGCCCGACGAAGCAGGAAGAACACTGCGAAGCTAAATTCTAATCTTACTTTGTCCTTCTGTTCGCCTGAGAGGAAAATATTAATAAAACTCAGTTGGCTTTTGTGAGCCTCCTTTTTCTCAGGGAAGTCCTCCGAGTCTCAGGCACATGTGTGTTTGTCGCCTGAAGCCTTGTGGCTCCACTCGCTCCGCTGTTAATCCGTCATCATCCAATCAACGTTGACTTCCCAGGCGCTCCGGGGACAAGCGGAAATCTATTCCTTGTGGAGTTTTTATTCTAGAGAAGGACAGAAGGAATCACAGCTACAAAGCACAGTCATGAGACAGAATGAAGGTCTCATCACCTCGGGCCACACGGGTTATGATGTGTGGGTGGGATTGGGGATGAGGAGGCCCTTTGGGTGGGAAGGAGATGCAGCTGGGAGATGAGCCTTGAGCTGAGTCTCCCGGAGGGTGGACGTTTACTGACCCCCGCAAACACCGTTTGTGTTCTCACTTGTAAATTGCGAAGGGATGACAGTAGTTCTTCCCACTTTGAGGTTTTGTTTCTTCGACCTCAGGGCTGTGTCACTCTTTTCAGGACTCCACGATAATTTTCCATTTTATAAATATTTGTACTCCTGCCTTGCCTTGGCCTGTGGTCCCGAAGGTTGCGAATGGCAAAACAGGATTTTCTTGGTTCTGTTTTATTAAGTAACACCGACGTATTCCGTCTCTAGGATAACAATGATACTGACGTGTGAGTTATAGTAATGAACCTTTTAACGTCTTCGTGTTTTTATGGGATTGCACAATTCGTTACCGTAGTTTTCTTTCCTCTCTTTTGTAATTCTAGGCTTTATGTCATTTCTAAGCACATTTCATTTGTATGTCTTATTTCAGTGCTGGACCCAAAGGAGACAACATTTATGAATGGAGGTCAACTATCTTGGGACCCCCAGGATCTGTCTATGAAGGAGGGGTGTTCTTTCTTGACATTACCTTTTCACCAGACTATCCGTTTAAGCCCCCTAAGGTCAGTATGAAAGTATTCATCCATTTTTTAAAATATGTATTGTTATGTGTATATACATATTCTCAGTGTATTTGTCTAGGAATATATGTCTACTCTTAGCATAGACGACTTCCTAGGACCGGAGAATGTAAAACAGAGTGTGAAGAACAACATGTAATTTCCCGACTCTAACTTACTCATATTTCATTGCTGTGTTTCATCTTTTTCTCATTGTCTCTTTCCTGTGGTACTGTACGTTCTAATGTCACATAAAATATTACGTTTTTTGAATGGGAATAGGAGAGTGAGCTTGGGTCAGGACCAACCTAAAGCCCAGAGAACCAGAGAACCAGAGAAGCCTGGAGCCGGAGAGGGAGCCCGGGCCAGAGGTCAGGCTGCAGGCCGTGAAGCCTCCCAAGGCAGGGTTTGCAGCACCCTTACAACAGAGTTTTGAGCTGGCAGCTCCAGTGCTCAGCTGCTCGCATGAAACACGCATCTACCAGTATGGAAAGCGTGACCCACTGAGACTTAAAAATCATGCCAAGAAAATGTAGCAAGGGTGGAACCAGCAGTCGGCGCAATTGCTGTCGCTGGACTCCCATGTAGTCGACCGTGGTTCAAGTCCCGGACCTGGTGGCTTAAAGTCACACTGGACACGTGTGCATGTGTGCTCAAGATCCCGAGAGAAGAATGGAGGAGAAGGGATTGTGGCGTGGCCATCCACCCTGGGAGGTGATTTCTCGCTTTCTGTCTCTCTGTTTCTCTCTGTCTGTCTGGCAAGTGCACGTGCCCTATAGCAAAAAACTCTCCAAAAAAAAGAAAACGTAGCAAGGAAACCATTATGATAGCCCGTTAGTAAACGGATGCATTAATGAACGGTCACTTAGGCTCATTTCTGAAGAACTCTTGCTTATTGAAACCGAGATGGTACACTTGCCGGCATCTTCACATTCCTTCCTGCCGCACGTAAGGCCGTCCTTGGACCGTTTTAGAGAACATCTCCGTCACGCTCGTCCTCTGCTGTGTCAAGCCGAGAGCACGGACAGCACTGACTGCCAGCGAGAAACCGCGCACGTGGGGCTCTTGCTCAGCTCCTGACGGCACCGGGACTTAACCCTTTGAGCTCGTGCGAAGTATCCAACTTAAACAGGCGGGAGTGGGACCGGCCCTGTCCGCGACTTCGTGCAATTCCCCCTTTCTTATTTCCCATGCGCTTCCTTCCCACTGGTACTCGGACAGCGCTTTGATAGCAGAGCAGAAGTTAGTAACAACAGACGCTTTTCAACCTATCGTGGGGTTAGGTCCCAATAAACTCACCAGAAGTTGAAAATATCCTAAGTCAAAAAAGCGTTGAATAGGGGCCGGAAGTGGCATGGTGGTTAAGGGCGCTGGACTCCCTGTGGCCGACTACAGTTCTAGTCTTGGACCTGGCGGCTTGCTTTCTCATTTTCTCTCTCTCACTCTTGTTCTGTCCCTCTCTGGTCAAATGATAAATAAATAAATAAAGTTAAAATAAAATAATTATTAAAAAAAAGAGCATTGAACACACCTACCATGGAACACCACAGATCGGGGAACCCACCCTCAGACATCCCCAGAGCACGTCCACCTGCCTACAGTTGGGCAAAGTCTCTCACAGTCTGTCCTGTGATGAAGTGGGGTGCATCTCCTGTGCTTTATTGACCACTGGACTGAGAGTGAGAAGCAGACAACTACATGAGTGCAAGAACTGGGGTCTCTAGCACGGACAGACCCCCTTCACACCCGTCAGGTTGCAACCAGCGCGGCAGGGTTCGTGTGCGTAATCACCCTCGCTGCTGCTAAGGAAACTGAAGCACAGGGAGACCGTCTCGCTCGCCCCGCATTTGACACCACGTGCCCATCGTGACATCAGGATTTGAACCTAGAAGTCTGGCCCCCACACCGTGCTGCGTATCCACCACTCGGTACGTTTCTCCAAGCTGACAGGGCTCGTGCTGGCTGCCTAGAGCTTGCAGAGGTAGGTTTGCATGGAAACGCCGTTGTAATCCAATACTTAGCTTCCCCGGACTGCACGGGAGCCTGTCCACACCTTGGGGACCAGCATGGCAGAGTACCTGTGGGACTAGCAGCCACGTCAGGGCCACCCGGGACGGCCTGTGCAGGAAAGGTTCGGGGTGAGGCAGAGCCAGGACGCGCTGGTGGGCAGCTGTGCTGCTTCCAAATCTCCTGTGCTCTGCACTGCAGAGCAGAGGTCTCAGGAAATGTGTAGGCGTCTCCCCGCAGAGACGTGTATACTAAACTGACCCGGAAAGGAGAACTGCGGTGTCGTGGAAAAGAACGCAGCTTCTGCAAAGGCCTTGGTGGACGGAGGATGGCTCCAGACGAACAAGATGGCGTCCACCATAGCTGAAGTGTAGTTTTGCAGGGAGAATGGAGGGGGGCGGGGATTATACAAGATAAAAAGAGACCTGCTTGCTTTCTTTTCTTTTATAAGCATAATTTTATTTTATTTATTTATTTATTTATTTATTTTAATTTGACAAGAGAGAGACAAGAAAGGGAAAGTGAGAAGGCAAGCTGCCAGGTCCGGGACTTGAACCGTGGACCCTGGTTTCTTAACCCCCCCCCCCCCCTGCCAGTCTCTCTTTTTTTTTTTTTTTTTTAGAGAGAGAGATTTTTGCTTTGGGACATATGCTCTCGACAGAGACAGAAAGTGAGAAATCACCCCTCTCCCCCCGGAGGGACGGCCACACCGCAATCCCTTTTCCTCCAGCCTCCTCTTGGAATTTTGGGCGAGCACACACACACACACACACACACACACACACACAGGGCATGAGCTTTAAGCCACCAGGTCCAGGACTCGATCCGCAGTGGCTTTCTGTTCATATATGTAGAATCTGGGGGTTTTGGCTGATGAAAAATTCCGTGGGAGGTTGAGGAAGTTCAGGAGACATTGTTAGGAGTCTAACATCCCAAACTAGCCAGTCCCACTGTATCTGGAACCCCTCACTCAACTTCTGAGTCCTCGTCTTCACCAAGTCGAGGACTGCTGGGCTCCACTGAACCAGCTTGGTTCTTCTCCAAAACACTGTAGGAAGGACAGGAGGACCCCTTTCACGTTTCACAGTCCAGGACACTTAGAGGGGCCTGGAGAGCTTCTCTAAGAATGTGCCACCTGGAATCTCCTGACCTCCGGTTCCAGGGGACATATCCTCTGCTGTGTCACTCTCAGGGCCTTGGGGCAGTTCGCTGGTATGGCTGGGACTCGGAGAGCCCTGGTCTGTCCTCAGGTGGTTCAGCA